GGGGGAGTATCATGTCCTGTAGTATAATCTGTTTATGTAGTTTGTTATTTTTTGAGTGTTTAATGTATTTTTATCAGATGTTACATGTACATGTATTTATTAAACATTACATGTATTTATATTCCAGAGCTTCTTTTATGTCGAAAAGTCTAACAGTTGACAACAGCACAATCAAGTTTCAAATATGGGATACAGCTGGACAGGAGAGAGTAAGTCACACAATAAATATATTTTATTTATTATCTTTATTCTTTTTTATCTCTTCTAATTAGTATCGGTCGCTATTACCAATGTATTACAGAAATGCAGCAGCAGCCATTGTTGTGTATGATATAACAAATGAAGTAAGAATAATAATAATTATAATTTTTAATAAAAGTTGGAAAAACGGAGACAAAAGATTACCATATAGGGAGAAATTTTGGAGGAAGTTAATTTAAACTTTAGTGATTGACTAATTTTAATTTGTCAAGTTTGTGGCCCTGTGCCATTGAGCATGTTGCTCAATGGCACAAATTTAATTAATTTTTGCCAAATTTAATTCCCTCCAAGATTTCCCACTATACAGTATATAATGACGTGCAGAATATAGAATAAAAAATAAAATATATAAATAGAATATTTTGTGGCCCAAAATTTTTTGTGGTTCTGTCTAAAAAATCTGTTTTGTGGCTTTCATTTTTGTAGTTTTCTACTTTTTGACCACAGATTTTATTTTCATGAATTTTGTAAAAAATGCGAAATATTATTTACATTTATTGTTATTATTATTTATTATTATTGTTGTTGTTTTTATTATTATGTACATTGTTGTACATGTAGGGATCATTCACAGTGTTACAGGATTGGATAGCAGAACTACACAGACTAGGTCCATCTAATATTGTATTAGCAATTGCTGGAAATAAATGTGACCTTGAAGATAAAAGAGAAGTATGACTAGTATAATTGTATATGTACATAAGAGCATTGAAATGCATAAAAATTTGGGGTAATTTTTACAGCCATTTTTCAAAAATTGACCGTTTTATAAAAATGGTCATTACTTGAAAAATTGAAGTCGGAATCAGCTCAAACTTTCTACACAGTATAAGGACATCAATATGTATCATAAAATGTAATAAAAATTTTAAGGTTATTTTGAATCCATTTTTCAGAAAAACCCATGGGTATTTTTTCAAAAATTGGCCATTAATAAAAATGGCCATAACTTAGAAAATTTAAGTCGGAATCAACTCAAACTTTTTACACAGCATAAGGACATCAATATGTATCAGAAAATGTAATAAATCCTCTCTCTCTCCCTCTCTCTACTACACTCTCCTTTTATCTCCTCTCCTTTCTCTCCCTCCTCCCTTCTCCTCTTCTCTCAGATTCCAGCTGAACAAGGTCAGACTTATGCATCAGAAGTTAATGCCATATTTGGAGAGACTAGTGCCCTCACTGCTAGGAATGTTGAGGAAATGTTCATTGAAATAAGTGAGTAGCTACTAATGATGTACTGTAGTATGTACTATTGTAACAATCTCTCTCTTGTCTCATAGCTCGTAAGTTACCACCAGATTGTTTAACTAGTTTACCAGCTGGTGCCTCTCTCTTAAGACAGACTGATACACCACGTGCTAAGGGAGGATGCTGTGGAGGAGGGGGAGGGGACAAAGGACCATCATAATAGTTCAGTTATAATAAGATAATAAATTAATGATTATTATTATTATTATTATTATTATTTTAATAACAACTGACACATGTACTGCTTGCCCAATAAGCTGGTTGTACTATTCTCTTCTATTTTATTTTAATTGTCTTTAATTGCAATAATAATTTATTATTAAAATGGGTGAACGCAATTATTATTATTATTATTATTATTATTATTATTATTATTATTATTATTATTATTATTATTATTATTATTATTATTATTATTATTATTATTATTATTATTATTATTATTATTATTATTATTATTATTATTATTATTATTATTATTATTATTTTGTATTTTCTTGTTTTTGTACGTGTTTATCATAAATCACTTTGTTAATTATTTTGTGTTTAAATTAATAATTATTAAATAATTGATGAGTCAGCATCGTCAATAAAAAGCAAAATACAATTAATATTAATTATTAGTAAAATATCAATCTATCTTTTATAATATTATAGTCATGGTATTCCGTGCATGTGTTTTTGTGTTTCATATCTAGATAGAACTTTATCTTTTTATTAATTGTTAACGATTGAAGAATTGGTAATATTTCATCAGATGATACTGAAGTGCGTCTTACTTCTAATTTAATTAATGTTGAATTGTTGATAATTAGTTCAGAAAGAGACTGAGTACTAACTGAAGTAATACGAGGATTCTTAAAGAAGAATAATCCTAAAAGTGTGTTATTGTGTGTTTGTAGTACGTTTGTAATATCAGCAACTGCTTTGTCATCAATGGAACAGTTAACAAGATATAAATCTATTAATGATTTATTATTAGCCAGTAAGTTACATAAGGATGAGATGCAGTCCTGTGTTAGTTGAGTGTCTC